ACGTGTGTGTTTGAGTCATCCACTTGCTCATTTGCATATGGAATATTGTATGTGAATTTTTTGTTAAACCCTTAAAATTAATTTTCAAGGGCTATATGTAGAGCTCAGAAGAAACATCTCTGCTGCTGAAATCAAACTTGGTCCAGAAAACGTAGCAATGGAGGAGAGGAACAGATGGCTTTCGGGGACAAGGCAGAGACTCTGAAACACCTGCTTGGCCATGGTTGGTTGACATTTGAGTGACAGCCCAACACGCCCTGTGAAGTTCAGGTGAACTGAAATGGGCAGGTGTAGGCTACTAAACCAGCACAACCAAGAGCTGTTTCTCCTTTTTTCTTTTTTGAGATGAAGTCTTAACTGTGTCGCCCCGGCTAGAGTACAGCAGCACAATCTCGGCTCACCGCAACCTCTGCCTTCCAGGTTGAAGCGATTCTCCTGCCTCAGCCTCCTGAGTAGCTGGGATTACAGGCATGCACTACCACACCTGGCTAATTTTTGTATTTTTAGTAGAGATGGGGTTTCACCTTGTTGGCCAGGCTGCTTTCAAACTCCTGACCTCAGGTGATCCGTCCACCTTGGGCTCCCAAAGTGCTGGGTTTACAGGAGTGAGCCACTGCACTTGGCCAGGAGCTGTTTAAGCCATCAGGAGACATGCTGACCCACTAGAAGAGGCTGCTACGTTAATTTCTTCCACAAATGTTTACTGGGCACCTACCATGAACCACCTCCTCCCAGCTCTTTTCTGCACCCAGAGATTGGAGGAGAGTTTATAACCTGGCAGTCTGTTGCTGTGAGGTTGGTGGTGAGGTGAGTCTGCCGGAGGACATGCCATCAGTTTCAGAAGAGCCTACAGCCCGGGTCTGATTTCCTCAGCCACAGCCTTGGGACTTCAGGAAAAATCAGAAGGTCCCAAGTCTGAAAAATGAAGAGGTGGGGAGTGGGCCGCCGGGGTTTTAGGTCGGGAAATGGTAGGAAACCTGTAGTTGTGGCTCATAATCCCAGCGGGATGTTAGAACCCTCTTCATTTGTCAGAATAGATTCCTGGTGTCTGCTCCCAATTACACGGTGGCTCATGCCTGGTAATCCCAGCGCTTTGGGCGGCCAGAGACAGGCAGATCACTTGAGCCCAGAAGTTTAAGACCAGCCCAGGAAACAGACCCCGTATCTACAAAAATTTAAAAGCCCGAGCATGAAGCCCTGTTTCAAAAAAGAGAGTCTGCTGGTGATGTCTGGGCATCTCTGCTTCATAGGCCAGTGTTATGATCAGTAGCTGTGATGGACAATGAGTGAACGTTGCTGCTTGTTCAAAATGAAGAAAAAAAAATGTTATCAAAACCAGGTTTGGAAGTTTCAGATTTGGAGGAGCTGGGCCAGCCCATCTGGAATGGCTGAGGGGCCCTGTTAGCCCCACCCTACCCCACCCCACCCCCAAATCCAGCATCTCTGGCAGTGCCCAGAGGCAAGCCCCCCTCAGTTTCCCACGTCCCATTCTGCCTTCCAGAGCCTGGTCCTCAAGTTTTAAATTCCCAGGTCCACTCAACAGAACTTGCTCCCTTCTCTGACTGCAGTCTCAGAATGAAAGGAGAGGTGCTTTAGTTGGGTCGTTTGGTAGCGTTTGGGCTTAGAAGTCACTAATTTGGAGCCGTGAGTATATAAGCTAATGACACGTGTATAAGATAATGACACGTGATGGTCAAGGGACATACTACCATTTCCTGTGGGTTATTAGGGCCTCCAGCTGTTACGAGGACACGCTGGGGGATCTCGGCTTTAGGGAGTCAATGCTGTAACTGGAGAAAGGCAATGCTGCCTCATAAAGCAGTCAGAAACGAGATTCCACTTGCCAAATGCCAAGAGGCAGCAAAGTCCATGAAGAGAGCACTGTGTACAGAGTCAGATGACCTGGGCTCACTAGCCTCTAAGCATAGTCTTGGTTTCCTGCCTGTAAATTGGTAGAATAAGACTGATCTACTGGGCCCATACCTGTGATCCCAGCACTTTGAGAGGCCAAGGCAGGAGGATCCCTTGAGCCCAGGAGTTTGAGACCAGCCTGGGCAACATGACAAAACCCTGTCTCTCCAAAAATACAAATTTTTTTTTTTTTTGTATTTACAAAATACAAAAATACAAAAATTAGCCAGGCATGGTGGCACACACTTATAGTCCCAGCAAGTAGGGGGGGCTGAGACAGGAGGATCTCTTAAGCCTATGAGTTTGAGGCTGCAGTGAGCTGTGATTGCGCCACTACACTCCAGCCTGGGCGACAGAACAAAACCTGTCTCAAAAACACCAAAAAACAAGAACTGGTCTCCTGGGGTCATGGTAGCACAAACGCACATGACTGAGTGCGCAGGAGTTCTGAGGCTTGTCCACTGACCTGGGGCTCTGGCCCTGGGAGATCTGGGGGACCTGCTGTGATGATTTGAAAGAAAGGGGCATCATTCCAAGCCAGGAGACCCCAGAAAGGGCACCAGCGGGTGTTCAGGCTTCTGTGAGGCCCCAGTGAGATCTGTGGCTGTGCCCCCATCACCTCCACCCTGTTTGCCCTCCCACGAGCTGCCCAACGAATGAATCAATGCCTTGGCAGAGTTTCCCAGCAGGGCCTTGCAAAGTGTGTGTGGCCTGTGTGGCCACTGCCTTGGGGGTGGGCGGGGAGTTAGGGAACATTCCAGCGTGGGCATTATTGTCCTGTTGCAAGTTCAGGGCCAAACCAGGAATCCAGTTTTGTCGATTCAATTGAGAAAATATTTCATGAACAACTACTTGTGGCATGCATTGGCACTCAGAGTAAAACACACTATTATCACTAGGTTGGCATTTCTTTTTTTATTCTTTTTCTTTTTCTTCTTTTTTTTTATTTTTTATTTTTGAGACCGAGTCTCACTCTGTCGCTTAGGGTGGAGTACAGTGATCTCAGTTCACTGCAACCTCTGCCTGCCGGGTTCAAGCGATTCTTCTGCCTCAGCCTCCCGAGTAGCTGGGATTGTGCCTGCCACCACGCTCAGATAATTTTTGTATTTTTAGTAGAGACGGGGTTTCACCATGTTGGCCAGGCTGGTCTCGAATTCCTGACCCTAGGTGATCCGCCCACCTCGATCTTCGAAAGTGCTGGGGTTACAGGCATGAGCCACTGCATCCAGCCAGGTCAGCACTCCAGACTAGCTCAGCTGTGAAAGACTAGATGTTAATAAGAGGTTCCTGAATCAAGGATTTAGTGCTCACATTCAGTGAAACACTACAGACTCCCCTCTTGGATAGTTGGAGGCTTTGAACACAGCCCTTCTTCTATCCTCCCTTCCCCACTGGCTCACCCCTAATGAATCCAAATGCAGTCTAGTAAAATCAGGAAGCCTGCTATGAAAACTCGGCAGAGATCCTGAAGATACCCCTGCAGGTGCCCGCTCTGACCCAGGTGAAAGGAGAATGGCTGTACCTTTGGTGATGGTGCTGAGGGAAAGGACCTCAACTCCCATAAGTGCTGGGTCTGAGGCCACATATTACACCAGGACAGGTCCTGTGTCCCTCAGGAAAGCCTGGCTTTGGGGTCAGACCTCAGTAACCAGCCGGGAAATCTTAGGTAAGATTCTTTCTCTCTCTCTCTCTTTTTTTTTTTTAAAGAAAAGCGACAGGGCCTTGCTCTGTCATCCAGGCTGGAGTGCAGTGACTCAATCATAGTTTAGTGCAGCCTCAACCTCCAGGGCTCAAGTGATCCTCCTGCCTAAGCCTCCCGAGTAGTTATGACTACAGGCATGAGCCACTATGATGCCTGGCTAATTTTTTATTTATTTTTTATTTCTGCAGAGATGGGAGTCTTTCTATGTTGCTCAGGCAGGTTTCTAACTCCTGGGCACAAGCCCCAGAAAAGGGGTGAAGAATCTTACCCAAAGCCGGGCACAGTGGCTCAAGCCTGAAATCTCAGCACTTTGGGGAGGCTAAGGCAGGAGGATTCCTTGAGGCCAGCAGTTTGAGACGAGCCTGGGCAACATAGGAGACATCTGTATCTACAGAAAATTTAAAAAATAAAAATTAGCTGGGTGTAGTGGTCCCAGCTACTTGGGAGGCTGAGGTGGGAGGATCAATTGAGCTCAGGAAATCAAGACCTCAGTGGGTTGTGATCATGCCACTGCACTCTAGCCTGGGCAATAGAGTGAGACCTTGTCTAAAGAAAAGGCCAGGTGTGATGGGTCACGTGTATAATTCCAGCACTTGGGAGGTTGACACGGGCGGATCACCTGAGGTCAGGAGTTCAAGACCAGCCTGGCCAACATGGTGAAACCCCATCTCTACTAAAAATACAAAATTAGCTGGGCATGGTGGAGCGTGCCTGTAATCCCTGCTGTGAAACTCTGCCACAAAAACAAAACAAAACAAAACAAAAACATTATTCACCTTTTGGAGCTCATGTCTTTATCTGTAGACTGGGTAACTCATTGGTGCTCAACAAGGATGATGTATCAGAGAAAGACCTTTTCTTCCACCTAATGGACCCCCAGTCCCATACACACACACACACACACACACACACACACACTCCAGTCACCACCACATCACTCAGTTTTTTGTTTTGTTTTTCAGAGGCAGGATCTCGCTATATTGCCCAGGCTGGAGCACACTGGTTATTCACAGGTGCAATTGCAGCTCACTGCAGCCTCGAACTCTTGGCCTCAAGAGAGTCTTCTGCCTCAGCCTCCTGAGTAGCTGGGACTACGGGCTTGTGTCACTACACCCAATTCCCCATCACCTGGCTTTTAGTTTTATGAGAAGAGGCTTTTGTCTGGGTCCGAGTGTTCTGGAGAGGAGCTGGGGTAGTCCCTTAAAACAGTCCAAGCTGCCTGGGAGCCAGGGCCTGCATTCTGGGCACTTCTCGTAGTCAACTGGCCGGCACCCTCAGTCAGAGCAGTCCCCTGGCTGGTCCTCTGGGTTGAAGGCTCCCTCCTACTCCACACTCCAAGGCAGGCGGGGGCCACGTGGCCCTGCCCCGCCCCTGCTGGCTTCGGTTCCTGAGCAGAGCTGCAGAGGCCTGCTTTCCCCGCCCTTCTCATCAGACGGGAAGCCTGGACTGTGGGCTGGGGGCAGCCTCAGCCTCTCCCACCTGGCAGCCACTGCCCGTGGCCCTTAGGCACCTGCTTGGTGCCCTGGAGCCCCTTAAGGCCACCAGCAAACCCTAGGAGACCGAGGCTTGGCACGTGAACAGGTAAGAAGGCATCAGGCTTTCTCTCCCATGCCTGGCTTTCCTCTGCCTCTGACGGCCTGGCTTCCCCACCCCGATTCTGCTGCTGCTTCACCGATCCCAGGAAGAGAGACTTGAGCTAGACTTGACAAAGACAGTCCCAGCCAAGACTCTCTGAAGTATGCCTCAGAGAAGTATGCCTCAGCAGAACTGTCTGCCCTGGGTTTCAATTTTTCACCTTTGCCTTCATCAGCCTTGCTGGAAAAAACAGATCCACATAACCATAAAGCAAGTCATTTCTCTGTGTGTGCCCTTCGGAGTTTAGTCAGTTGACAAACCTACATTTTCATATGGTTGGCATGGGTCATGGGGCGCTGCTCCACTGTATATTGCCGTAGATCTTTGGACCTTAATGTACTGTGTGTGTGAACTATCACTTGCATGTATTACTTTATCAAAAATCAGTTGATTTGGCCGGGCACAGTGGCTCACGCCTGTAATCCCAGCACTTTGGGAGGCTGAGGTGAGTGGATCACTTGAGGTCAGGAGTTTGAGACCAGCCTGGCCAACATGGTGAAACCCCATCCCACTAAAAATATAAAAATTAGCTGGGTGTGGTGGCGCATGACTGTAATCCCAGCTACTCGGGAGGCTGAGGCAGGAGACAGACTTGAACCCGGGAGGTGGAGGTTGCAGTGAGCCAAGATCACACCACTGCACTACAGCCTGGGCGACAGAGTGAGACTATGTCTCAAAACAAACAAACAAACAAACAAACAAACAAACAAAAACTTGATTTCAAGTTCTTTAAAGGAAAGAGGCAAAAAAGTCAACAGCATAGGTAAACCTTTCTCATGCAGATGGGATTTCTGAAATTAAAATGAAGTGTTCTGCTTTTACGCTTTTCTTTTCTTTTCTTTTCTTTTTTGAGATGTTGTCTTGCTGTGTCACCCAGGCTGGAGTGCAGCCACGTGATCTTTGTTCACTGCAACCTCAGCCTCCTGGGTTCAGGTGATTCTCCTGCCTCAGCCTCCCAAGTAGCTGGGATTACAGGCACCCGCCACCACGCCCAGCTAATTTTTTATAGTTTTAGTAGAGACGGACTTTCATCATGTTGGCCAGGCTGGTCTTGAACTGCTGACCTCAAGTGATCCACCCACCTCGGCCTCCCAAAGTGCTGGGATTACAGGCATGAGCCACCGTGCCTGGCTAACTTTGCACTTATTTTTAAATGCACATAAACCAACTAACTAGATGTTGTTTTAAGGTCCACATGGTATTCGCCAAGTTAACAGACCCCTCCCTGGGCGGGCAGCCTCTGTCCACTGATGGTGAAGTTGAGTTGCTTTTAGGTGTTTTGCAATGAATAATTCGACTTTTATGGACAACTCTGTGGAAATAACTTTTCTTTTATTTTGGTATTTGAAGTTGTTGGTTTTTCCCCCTTCTCTTTGGAGTTTATTCTGCATCCAGAATGAATACTCTGGACCAAGGACAAGAACATTTTTGCAGCTCAGCTCATGTTATGTGTGGGGTCAGCTCACTCATGAGAATTACGGGACTAATTTACTGATTTTCAGGGCCATGGTGGCAGAATGGGCTGGGCGGGGGACTTGAGATCTCTGGGATTTCTCAGGAAGGGGACAGAGACCGTCTAGCGTAGTGGTTAGGAGCTTGGCTTTTAGAAGGCTGACTAGCCTGGGTTTGTATGCAGTAGCTGCCTGACCATGAACTTCCACCACATAACTTCATTGTGCCTCGGTTAGTTCACATGTAAAATCGAGGTTATAAAACTTGTTAGGGGCCAGGCATGGTGGCTCATGTCTGTAAGCCTAGCACTTTGGGAGGCTGAGGTGGGTGGATTGCTTGAGCCTAGGATTTCGAGACCAGCCTGGGAAACATGGTGAAACCCTGTGTCTACAAAAACAAAAACAAACAAAAACAAAAACTTGTTAGGAATGTTGGAAGTCAGAGATCCTGTTTGTGAAGCATCTAGCATAAGATGTGGTGCTTAACAAGCACCCCTGGAGGCCCCTTCTTCCCCAAGCCTGGGGCTTTAACAAGCCAGGCAAAATTGAGAAGGTCAAGGACATCTTCTTGGCCTAGATGCTATTCTTACCCAGCTTCACGGTAACTAGAGTGAAAGGCTTCATTGCCTGTTCAAGGATATTTTGACTAGGCCTCTGTCTGTCCCAAAGCTGACACGTGGAGCATCAAGCTCAGGCCTCCCTCGGGGGGACCCCAAGCTTTCATCCACCTCTGTTGTCACAACTGGATGCCACCATTCTTATCTCTCAGCCACCCTCCTCAACATGCAGGTTTAAGGGATCCCTGGACAGACTGGAGAGTTCCCGGAACGTCTGCAGGTGCACCTGCCCAGCCCCAGCCTGCTGTCACTGGGGTAGGTTACGCACATGGTTCGGCAGAAGGAGCATAGGCTCTGGAGCTGGTCGGACTGGATTCCGGTCCCGGCCGCACCACTTCCCATCTGTGGGCAGTCACTGGACCTCTCTGACCCCCAGTTTCCTCATTTGCGAATGGATGTGTTAATATCTTTGGCCTAGAATTACATGAGATCACACAGATAAAGCAGTAGCCCCAAGGAGCCCTTACCGTGAAACTCAAGGCTGCACTCCAGAGCCTTCGGGAAGGTACTGGAATTAGCCACAAAGGACAGGCAGAAAATCCATGTGTTGATTTTCTCGGACAACAAACATTGATTGGGTTGGCCGGCCCTGTTGCTGGGAACCAGGGGGAGACGTGCACAAGATGCCTGTCTGCTATTGACATAGGCTGTAGGGAGAGGGGGAGTGGGAGATGCATTGAGGGGAGGCGGTGGGGATAAGATTTTGAAGAGTTTTGAAGATCAAGTGAGAATTTGGATTTGATCTCAATGATAAGGAGTTTTTTTTGTTTTTTGTTTTGTTTTGTTTTGTTTTGTTTTTTGAGACGGGGTCTCGCTCTGTCCCCCAGGCTGGAGTGCAGTGGCGCGACCTCGGCTCACTGCAAGCTCCGCCTCCCGGGTTGACGCCATTCTCCTGCCTCAGCCACCTGAGTATCTGGGACTACAGGTGGCCGCCACCTCGCCTGGCTAATTTTTTGTATTTTTAGTAGAGACGGGGTTTCACCGTGGTCACGATCTCCTGACCTTGTGATCCGCCCACCTCGGCCTCCCAAAGTGCTGGGATTACAGGCGTGAGCCACCAAACCCGGCTGTTTTATTTATTATTATTATTATTATTATTTTTTAAATTTATTTATTTATTTTTTTTGAGACGGAGTCTTGCTCTGTAGCCCGGACTGGAGTGCAGTGGCCGGATCTCAGCTCACTGCAAGCTCCGCCTCCCGGGTTTATGCCATTCTCCTGCCTCAGCCTCCGGAGTAGCTGGGACTACAGGCACCTGCCACCTCGCCCGGCTAGTTTTTTGTATTTTTAGTAGAGACGGGGTTTCACCGTGTTAGCCAGGATGGTCTCGATCTCCTGACCTCGTGATCCGCCCGTCTCGGCCTCCCAAAGTGCTGGGATTACAGGCATGAGCCACCGCGCCTCGCAATGATGAGGGGATTTAAGCAGGTTTTGAGACGCCTATTCTGTCAGCTTCGAGGGATGAAGCTAGTGTAGGCAGCTGATGTTGTTGGTGGCCTGGTATGCCTCCAGCCTTCCCCTGCATCTCAGGGGCCCTAACTGTACTCAAAATAAATAACTGCAAAGAGAGGGGTTTTCAGGACAGGCCTGGGTCAGGCAAGCCTAGCCTGGGAGTTGAGGCCCTGGTGCTGGGTTCTGGTCCCAGCCCCACCACCAGAGCATGTAGATCTTTCCTTCTTGTCTCAGAGGAGGACTCTGTTTCCCAGGCTGCAGTGCAGTGGCGTGATCTCGGCTCACTGCAGTGCAGTGGTGTGATCTAAGATCTCTGCCTCCTGGGTTCAACGATTCTCATGCTTCAGCCTCCTGAGTAGCTGGGATTAGAGGTGCGTGCCACCATGCCTGGCTAATTTTTGTATCTTTAGTAGAGATGGGGTTTCACCATGTTGGCCAGGCTGATCTCGAACTCCTGACCTCAAGTGATCCACCCACCCCAACCTCCCAAAGTGCTGGGATTACCAGTGCCTGGTCCAGGGCAATTAGGCCTCTTTTTTTTTTTTTTTAACTCTTCAGCTAAAAGAGGAAGAGGTGATTTATTATATGGTGGTTACGCTCGGCCACAAATAAACACAGAAATAGTCCAGAATGTGACAAGTCCAGGGCAGAGGACCAACATGGGCAGTTTTGTTTATGAGCAAGGTGGGTCTCAGAGGTGATCGGCGATCAGAGGGCGATGAAGTTCTAGATCCATTGAGACAAGCTCTAGATAGTAGCATGCAGTCCCAGAGCTTGTACCAGCATCCCCAGCGCCTGGCATTCCGTGTTGCTGCTCCTGTGGTCTCCACGGTGCAACAAGCTAGCGGCTTACTTGGACTTCTGCCTCATCTTTCTTCTTTTGTGCTTCAGCCTGCGCATTCACTTCTTCCTCCACTTGGCTCTCATGGCGCAGAGGTTTCCAAGAACATGGCGCTAAGGCCGAGAGTGCAATTAGGCTTCTTACAGCTCTTTCCTTCTGGGGGTTCTGTACAATGTTTCTGGAAGCCACAACTCCCCTTCCCCTGCCCCCAAGGCAATACTGTCCTGTGGCCTTCCCTGACCCGGCCATAGGAGGGAGAGACATCTTGTCCCAGATGGGCAGTGTGGCCTTGAGAGAGACTCCATGGAAGTCTGAGAACTGTGGCTTCCAGATGTGGGACAATCTTGGGGTGGTTCTGGGCTCCAGCTGTCATGCATGCTTGCGTATGAGGGCCACGTCTCATAAGTAAGGGGCAGTGTCCCCTGAGACCTGGGCTGCAACTGGCCTGGGAACCTGCTTCCTGAGCTTCCCAGGGGCTGCCTGGAGAGCTCCGTCCATGCATCCCAGCACGCCTGGAAAACAGCCAGGCCTTCCCCTTGGGGTCCTCTCCACGTCGGGGGATGTGGATGGGTTGAGACTTGCCTA